AATCTTTTCTACCATCTGTTTTTTAAATAATAGATTTTTTTTTAACTAATTTACTCCATCAAGGCTGCAGGCAACCACTTTTTATGTTGGGACCTCCAGAAAACAAAAATCTTTTTAAAATACAAGAAATTGGTTGACAAATTAATCAAAAAACTGTTAAATGCTAGATTTTTTTTTTTTTTTTGTTCAAGTTCTTTATAAAAATTTATTTAAAAAAATTTTAAAGTTGGATTATATAAAAATGTTGCTTTATTGATTTTTAAGCTTCATTTTTAAGTTCCTTTAATATTAATTTTTATATATTTTGTTTTATCTGCATTATTTAGGATAAATTGCAACAGTTCAGAAATTATAACCTTATAAACATGACAATATATCCCCCTCAGTTTACGTAATAAAGAAATCTACTTTAAAGATAATTTTCTAGAACTATTATCAGGATAGTTCTATTTTTAAAAGTGCGTATTTTGTTATCATTTATCTTATTGGAGTTCATGTCTAAATAATAATGTCTAAATTAAATTCTTCTTGACTTTGAAAATCTCTATAACTTTTTAAAAAATGCCAAAATGAAGTTAACTCAATTTTTTTTTGCTATTAATTTACAAGTCTTTACCAAGAAATTTTTCATGACATAAATTTTTAGTCATCTGTAACTCGTGCTGAACTCAATTTTTAAATAGAAGATGATCATTTGCTCTCTTGTGTGGAGATTTTCATTCCACACAAAGCACTTTAGAATTTGTATTTCTTTAATTCTCTTTGTGGAAGGCAATAATATCCTACTTACATATATATATATATATATATATATATATATATATATATATATATATATATATATATATATATATATATATATATATATATATATATATATAATATATATATATATATATATATTATATATATATATATATATATATATATATATATATATATATATATATATATATATATATATATATATATATATATATATATATATATATATATATATATTAATTTTTTCTGAAATTTGTTTTTGAATAATTGTTTTTAATCTTTATTGAATAAAAAATGATTTTTTTTATTTTTAAAAATTTCTAGAGTAAACAAAAAATATTAACATTGATTGATGACAAAAAATATTAACGTTAAACACAAACCCATGTTAATTATTTAAACAATGATTTTGTTTTGACTGGCAAAGAAAAATTTAGGTTTTTAAATATTTTTTAAATTTATCTTGCTTAGCGTTTGAACTTGCGTTTTATTAAAATATAAAAAAGTTTTGTCTGCTTTGAGCATATTTTTGATACATAGTTTAGAACGCGTTCGCCAGGGATTAAATTTTTTATGTTATTGTAAAAATATTTTACTTTTTAAACAAATCACAAAGAAACAGAGCTATAGAGAAAAATCGCTTTTAACGATTAAATCTTTTTTTTTTAAATTTTAGGAAATTAAAAAAAAAATTAAATTAAATATAAAAGTCTTAATTATGCAAACTCTTTTGTTAATTATTCTTAAAACAAAAAAACAAATACTTCTACGCAAAACTTTAATCGTGCAAACTTAAAAAAATACTCAACTGAAATAATTTAAGTATATTTAATAATTTGAATCATATCTGTTTATAATTAAATATTCGTAAAAATTTGTTTATTAAAAATTAAATTCCTTAACTTATAAACAAACTCTAAAGTATTTTCATTCTACGTATAATTACAAAACTCTTTTTTTTTTTCGTTTGTAAGCAATTTAACTTAATAAAATAAAAAAAGAATAAATATGAGGTAATCTTTGTTAAGAATAAATTTAATTTATTTATTGAACTATATTTTTATTTTTAATTATATATCAACTTAATTAAAATATAGTAACGTGTTAAAATATTTTAACATGACTTGTATTATTTATAAACCGTTGGGCAGTTGCCCTTACGGCACTATTGGTTTTGGATAATATTTTATTTTGATGAAAATCACATAACTTACGTTTGATTTTAATAACGTAAGTCTTCTCTTTTTCTGTGATCATCGCATCGGCAAAGCTTTGGCAAAGTCCCAAGATTTAAAAGTTTTTAAAGTAAATCTTTTGTCCTCCAAAATACAATCCATATTCAAACTTAAAACAATTTAGAGATAATAGAAATATATAAGGTTTTTATATACTAGTTTGTTTTGTTTTATAAAGAAAAATACATATTCATTAGTAAAAAATGGAGACTGTCATTAAACTAAAACGTGCCTTAGTATTTATTTAACGGAATCTGTAATGTGCGTGTGCATAATAAAACCACCGTTATATAAATATATTCAACGTAATATTAGTGTCATCAGCGGATGTTGTAGTCTACTCATGATTTCTTTACCTTATAATATAACTTGATTTATAAAAAAATAAAAAACATGAATTCTTGAATGAAAAAATTGAATCGCACGCAGAAGAAATTTAACAAATTGTCTTCATTCAAATATTGCGAGTAACAGGTAATTTTTTTTTTTGTGCCGACCCCCTTCCCCTGCATAACTTAAAGGTAAAGGTATCTATATACCTTTAACTAATAAGAAAAGCAAAGACATTTTTTTTAATATCTCAAAAAAATGTCTTGATATTTTTGTTATCTTGATAACAAAAATATTATGACATTTTTTGAGATATTCAAAAAAATGTCAATTCTTAATTACAAATTTTTTTGCAAATGTTTTTTATTATAAATTCAGTTAAACATTCTTAAAAAATCTATATTACAAAAAACATTTATATTCTGTATTAATAAATATGGAGTATAGATTTTTTTAAAAGTTTTTTACTGAAAACTTTAAAAAAGTACTACTTTTTATTAAAAACATTGCAAAAAGTTTGTAGTTAAGGATTGACAAACAATTTTTCATGTTGCTAAATATTTGGATAAAAAGTTTAGCGTCAAATTAATTGCTATAAAAAGGAAAGATATATCGCGATGAAAAGTTACAACAATTATTTTTAAAGTAAATTCTTTTTTTTAATAAATATCTTTACATATCGTTATTTAAAAGTTAATGTGGTTTTTTTAAAAATTAATTACTTCTTTAATGTTACCGCTAATTTAAAAGTTAAAAAATGATAAAAAGTAGCTTAACCAAAACAGCTCTACGCGTACGTAAAAATTGCTTAAGGCGTATGTAAATCGCTCTAGGCGTAACACTTTAAAACAGGGCCTGATATATGAAAATAATTCATACAGTTTGTTATTTACTATTGAAAATGGACAATAACTATAAAAGTCATCATATGTGATAGATATTGCTGCGGGAACTTTAATTATAGAACATCTAGGTTATGAGCGTGTTTTTTGGTAGACATAAGATGGAGGTTTGTATTTTTATATCAACAACCCTGTATTTAAACATAATAGACCTTAAACATAATGACCTTAAACATAATAGACCTTCGTGAAAATAACCTACATTGTATCCCTAAAATAAAGACCCTCATTTTTCGAACTTTTTTTTCATTTTAACATATCTTTATCTACTTCAATAATGTCTAGTTCACAGCTAAATGGGCTGCCTTGTAACTTTAATCAAGCTAAAATAGAACTCATTTTGCACACCTGATGTAAAGTTTGCTGCTCTTCCATTTTTATCCATTTGTTTTTATAGCTGGTTTCAACTATATTCCATAGTTTTAACTTTTTGGACAAATAACTGGACAATAATTCTCCAAAATATTTTTAAACTACGTGAACTTTCATTTTTTATATGGTTTAAATAATTAAATATACATCTACTGTTGAAATTAAATAGGTTTTTTCCAAAGCTTTCTAACTATAACAACTTAATTAGAAAGTTGATACTAATGGTATTCCATCATCAACCAAACACATAATACTTTTCTCTTTTTTGTAGTCCTGATGCTAACTTTTGCCAAAAAATTCTAACAAGAATGATACAATCATTCAATCTCTTTGAGGTATACTTATTAACTGTTTTTAGAGGGTTTTTAACTAGATATTCACTGCGTTTTAGAGTAAAGCAGAAAATTTCAAAATTTGATCACCCAGTTTGTTTTTTATAAAGCCTTTTAGGTAGCGGTTTTCCTTTAGCCTGTTTATCTTTAGACTTGTTAAACCTTTAGAATTTAACTAAACTTCTACTGTCTGGCACTTTAAAAGAAGATTTCTTGACTTCATTAAAGAAAAGTGAAAAAAAAAAATGATATCTTGAATAGCCTTCTTGATAGCTTGAATTACGATTAAAAATAAATAAATAAAAAAATTAAGATATTTTGAAGTAATCTGTCTTTTTGATTACTTAAAACTTTTGTTTAGAAAGAGACTTCAGATGAAACTTTTCAAATTTATCCAATCGAAATTTGAATAGCATAAATTTGAAAGAAAAGATGTGTAACTTTATATGCAAAGAAACTTTTGCAAAGATATTTATTTTTTATATCTTTAAATTTTTAAAATAGAAGTAGAAGGTCAACCATATAAAATTAGCAAAAACTGAATTGTTTTTTAAACTTTTCTCAAAAAATCAATTAAGAATAACTTATCAAACAAGAAATATAGAATTTTGGAACCCCCCTAATATTAGTTCAAATAAAGTTTTGATAAACAAGGTCATGGATAAAATTGAATGATTTTGATAAATTATTTGTTTTTTTTTACAGTTTCACAACACTATTTTCTTTTTTCCCAGTTTGTTGGGTGCAGGTTCTTTTGTTTTTGCTTCGCTCTGGTGGTGTTTTGCTTTATTTTAGCTCCACATTGTTTCAACTGTCTGAGCTTTTTCACTTTCCTATTTGGTTCGTTACAAGGCATGAAACATATACCAAATTTTGTATAATTTTTTAGGAGGACAAAAATTATATGAAAAGACATTTGTAGTTAAACCTTGCGAGAATGAGTTGAACCCTTTTAGAATTTTTTGTTATTATTTTCTATAGTTCTATATTTTTAGTGTTATTTTTTTCAACTCCATATTTTTATTTCAAGTTTTAGTTATAAGTAAGAACTTTTTATTATTTAGATATTTCAAGTTCACCAAACAAAGATTCCACTGTTTCTTCCAGTAAAGGTAATTATTTTAATTGGTTTATGCTTTGTTTGCTTCAAAAGTAGGAACAATTTTTTTTTATGTTAAATAATGTCCTTTTATTAAGTTTTAACTTTTTCATTTGATTTTAAATTTTTTTTTATTAAACATTCATTTTTAAGTCTACTTACTTCAGATGCTTCTTCTACTACTTCTTCTACTTTTTCTTTACTCCAGATTTTATTATTGTTGCTAATCATCAATCTTGTTCATTGTGTTACTGGCTTATGTAAATTTATATCTCATTGGTTATTTCAAAACATTATTTTTTATACAATGCTCACTTAATAATTTACTGATGAATAACAAAAATGTGTTATATTATTTTATTAAATGTTTCATTATCTGGATTTTTTTAAATAAAGTTCTTATATAATTTTGTTAAGTGAATACAAATAAAACAAAAATTGTAATTAATTTTTTCATTCTTATTTAAATCTATAAATAAGACCCTAAGTCAATGATTGCATCATTAACTTGTTTGACAAACAAAGCAAGAAAAGAGCTTGTTGTCAAGATGCAGTATTCTTGTTGCTCAAGTTTAGTATCATAATGCCCCTATAATGTTTTAAAGTCCTGTTACGTACAGTAACGAAAACAGGATTCAATACTTTATGCGCAAAATGTCTGTTATTTTTCGCATAACATTTTACGTAACAATGCGTTAATATTTTCAGCTTGTTATAAATTTATAAATAACAATCCTTTGTAAAGTGGCCATTGCTATTAAATAGACTTTGTTGGGAAGCAGGAGCGATCCACTCGATTACTGACCACCTAAATAATATTTATGTGCATTCTTTGAGAATTTATAAAAAATTCTCAAAGAATGCACACTTGTACGGTGTAATGATTTTTAGGACAAAAAACGCCTACCCCATGATTTTTTAACTTTATTGGTGAAAAAATCATATAGTAAGCGTTTCTTTACTCAGAAAATTATCACACCGTGCAAGTGTACATTCTTTGTTTCTTACTGAACAAATAGTTTTTGAAAATAGATCCTTATATGTTTTACCTTGTTTATGATGTCCATTAGCAATATGACATTTTGGCGATAAAAACAAACACAATCATATTCCCTTTGTTGAACAGAGAATTTTCCCTTTTATCAAACTTAGAGTTTGATCAAAGTTTTCAGCCTTTTTTTTTATGCTATTTGTTTCATAACTTATCTTTGAATAAAAGTCGAGGTGACTTTGACTTTTTCTAGTTACATTGTTTATCATTTTGTTGATGAGTACATCTTTTCCCTTTCTAAAATCAAATTGTTTTGATGATTTTGAATGAAATTGTAGAGAATAAAATTTTGAATATCTTTGTTGATTTCCTGTTTTTTTAATTTTAATAAAGATTTAAAAAATTCATCATTTTGTTCACCTTGATTTATTCCTTTTCTGGCATTCTTCTGGGATATTCTTGTCTTGAAATCTTTTGTTTACAAGTTGCATTAAGCTTTTCCTCCATTTGTCTAAAACTTTATTTTGTTATGTTTTTAAATAATAATGATATCATTATCATTATTATTTAAAAACATAACAAAATAAAGTTTTAGATATAACTTTTATGTCTACTTTTTTGTGATTTTATTTGTGTTTAATGTATTAAGTTTTCTATGATATTAAACTTTATTAATTTTTTTTCTTTTTAATTAAGCAATTTTCAAAGTCAATCTTATTATAAAAAAAAAGTTTATGTTAGTAAAATATTTATTAGTGGTCATCTATAAAGTAGGTCGTGCTAAATTTAATTTTATATAGAAGGATGATCATTTGCTCTCTTGCATGGAGATTTTCATTTCACATAAAGCACTTAAGAATTTTTATTACTTTAAATCTCTGTGTGGAAGGAAATAATATCCTATTTCTATTTTAAAGTTGAATTTTGTGATTTACTGAATGATTAAAGCATAATACTGTAAATTTTTATATAAAATGCGAGAAGTTCCGAGTTTGATCCCCCTCTTTTCCCTGGTAATACTATTAAATACTAACTAAAACTGAAACAGAAGCTTAATATCAGATACCATAGAATGATATTATTTTAATTTGAATATTAGAGAAGACAATCTTTTCTTAATTGCAAGTTTTATCATTCTCTTTCAAAATGGATCAATTTGATTCTGTTTTAAAAGCATATTGAATGTTGCTGCATTGCATTAAATGAATTTTTTCAAGTTTGTGTCAAGTCCAAACATTTTTTAAAACTAATTCTAAACTTTCTCAAATGATCATCAACAGTTGTTTTGGATGAACTTAGCTTTTCAGTAATTTCACGAACCATTATATATCAATTAACATCAAACAAAGCTTTTACTGTTCATCGATCTCAATTGGTTTACCATGTTTCATTTTTCAGTTAAAGATGCATCATATCTTGAAGTGAAAAGTTTCCAGAAAGAAACTTTGCAAACCCATTTTAACGAGTGCGTACTGTTAATGAATGACTACCATACACAGCACAAATTTTTCGGTATCCATTTTGATCCAAGATGATGTCAAAAAAGTATAATACAGCTTAAATTTTTCTATAAAGTAAATATTAGTCTATACTATTAAATGATTATTTATGTAAGTATATTTGAATTTTGGAAAATTTTTTAAAACTCTATTTTGATTTAATATTTGTTTACTCATTTTAATACGGTTGCAAAGATAACCAATACTTATTATCATTACAATCAAACAACAACACATTTGCTTCCGTGTGCAAAAAAAAAAAAAAAAAATATCAAGTAGCCTTTGAGTAATTAACGATTCAGAGTTGGTGAATTATTAAACCAATATGAACCGCATTCAACCGATAACAAAATACCTAGAAATAATTATTGGATTCTATTTTTAATATATATAAACTTTTTTATAACAAAAATTAATCTACTCTTTTCAATTTTGAAGCTCTACTTGGCAATTGATGACACTTAACATTTCTGTCATTACATAAAACAGTTGCTAACTCACAAGTACATGATGAAATATCAAAGAGTTTATCTAAAATCAAATCTTGATACTCCTTACTTTTAGATTTACAACGTCCTCGGTTTATAGATTTTACTCTTTCAAAAAGATTTCGTAATTTTCTTAAGATTGAATTTCTCTGAAGAAATTCAATCTTAAGAAAATTACGAAATCTTTTTGAAAGAGTAAAATCTATAGAGGAAGATGTGAACACGTGTTTACTTTATTCCACAAAGTACTCAGAGAATTTTCAACCACTTTCAAAGGTAAAGCTTATAAATAGAAATCCTCAGATTTAATTTGCTAAAAAACAATAGAAGTAAAACTCAGGTGTTAGTAAATAGAAAATTATACACAAAGTAGTCCAAAGCAATAACAACATAAAAGTTTTATTTAATAAAAGTTTAACTATCTTTAACAAATTAAACAAATTAAATATAGCTAATAATGCAATTATACTTTTGTTACACTTTTTACAAACCCTTAAAGTTAAAAATACACAAAAATTGTAGGTGATTATAATATTGTGGCGAGGGACTGTACAATCATTAATAAAGCAGTCTAGTCATCTAAAAGATGCAGATTTAGATAAAGAAAAAAAGAAAAGAAAAGAAGATCAAGAAAAAGGAGAAGAACAAGAAAAATAAAAAGAACAAGAAAAAGAAGAAAAGAATATTATGAAAGCCTTGAGGGAGCCTTACCATCAACCTCTCAAATAATGAGTTCTGAAACTACTACAAAATTGGATGTGAGAATTATATCACACCTAAGTTAGTTGCAGCTTTAGATAGATGTCAATAAAGAATAAGGGATTCCCATCCCAGTAAACGGTCAACATTTCAGGCATAATGTTCTTAAAATCTGATTTTATAGATTCTGCTCTATCTTTTCTACTCTGTTTGCGAATGTGTTGAATCCCCCCTCCCTTTTCCCTGGTAATACCACGCTCAATTTGTTTGTTTAGGCAGTGGCCTTATTTGTCAAGAGTTGTATTTTGGAGTTAAAGAGTACCATTATTAGTAAAGTCTTAAAATCATCAGCTAACAAACATAAAATATTTAATTCTAAAGAAAAGTTACTTTGTGCATTAGGTTATTTATTATCTTCTGATTGATCTTGCTTCATATGGTGAATCTGAGAGAGTTTTTTAAAGTATTGAACTATCATTCACTACTGACCTCTTACGGAAAGTATATATAGCTGCTTTTTATCATGGTATATAAGTATATATAGCTGGTTAGATGCATCTTTTTATCATGGTTGCCATTTTCTTTCTTCTGATTCAATTCTATACCTTACTAAATCTCTTATTTGTCTCTTGTTTGTATGTTTCTTCTTGTTCATACTGTTGTCGTATATGTTTTGATTCTTATCTGGTTGCCAAGCTTAAGCCTTTCTCTTTGTTTCATCTCTGAACTTTTTTGTTTTCTGTTAACTAATTACTGTATGATAATAACAATGATGATGGTTATAAATATGTTTAACATTATCATGACTTTTTTATGTTAAGAAGTTTTAAAACTTCATTTGATACTTTGATATTTTTTTTGTTTTAAATATGAAATTTTTAAAAAATAATTTAGTAAAAAGATCAGACAAAGTTGTTTTGTTAACTTTAACTTGCCCTTTTTATTTGTTTATATGTTTTTTACATTTGTTTTTTAATTTTATTTATTTCTTAAATTAATATGTCACCTCTCCAAGGTCAATGGGCCATTACAGTTGAGAAGGGAATTTTTTTCATTTACCTTTTTTTATTGTGGTTATGACCCTCTCACAGCTATTCAACTTCAAAACATGAAGCTTGACAAGCAAGGCCGTTGTGCAAAGAAAAAAGTTGTGTAAGAGCTTTTTTTAAGAAGTTTGTTAGAGATAATACTTTAAATAAATTTCATATTAAAAGTTGTTTAGAAGCCGCAACTTCAATCAATTTTAGTAAAAAAATTAATTAGTGATAATAAGTAATCTACTTATTATTATTTCCTTCCACACAGAGATTTAAAGTAATAAAAATTCTTAAGTGCTGTTGCACTAAGTAATAAAAATTCTTAAGTGTCTTAACTGAAGTTGCCAAGATATGCATAAACATTTTGAAAAGTAAAAATTAGTAAACATAAGAAGTGTGTTTACTAATTTTTACTTTTAGCAGATGTAGAAGAAACTAAGGTTAAGAATTATTTAATAAAAAATTTATACTGCAGTCATCAAAAATATATACACATATTAAAAAGTAATAATTGTTAAACTTACCATTTGTTGAAGACGAAGATGTAACTTAAATTCAAAATATGTAATAAAAAATAAGTATTGCAAATAAGGACTATAAAATCGGTAATCTTTGAAATTTATTTACAGATTAAAAAGTACTAATTCTATAATCATTATGCTAATTCTATAATCATTATGCTAATTCTATAATCATGCTAATTCTATAATCATTAGCATATACAACCTGATAAAATCTTACCAGTGATGGGCTGTGTGAATTTGTTTTGATTCAGAAATAATTTTACACATTAAAGATAAAAGAGAGCGAGTTCTAAAAAACTAAACAAATAAGAGTGTTTGGAGGACTTTGGAACAGTCACAGAAAAAGGATAAGACTTAGTTGAATGATGAGTAACACAAGAATGAATTTTAAAAGTAAAAGGCACAAGAGAATTTTGAATTTTAGAAGTAGAAGGCACAAGAGCAGCTATTTCTTTAGAGCAGTGCTCTTATATATAGGAATAGTGGACAAACAAAGCATGTGACTGCACAGCTTTCCTGGAAAGGCCTGGATTATATTGTGTTTTTCAGACTTCCAAGTGCAATAGCTTCAAATTTATAGCTTTGTAAACACAACAAAGTATTCCCTAAATTTATGAACCATAAAAACAGACTAATAAAATCTGTTTTTATGACTATTAAAGTCATATAATTTTTTGTTATCTGCATTATTTAGGTTAAATTATGACAGTTTAGAAATTTTAACCTTGTAAACATGACAATATATCTCCCTCAATTTACATAATTAAAAATAATAATTTAAAGACATAATTTATATATTATTTCTTATTATTTCTAGAACTATTATCAGGATTATCTATTTTTATATCTGTTATATTATTTATTTTTATATCTATTATGATAGAGCCAGACATAATGCCTACAGAATGGATTTCAATTGATTGAATGCACACATTATTCACCATAGGCCACAAGCCATCACTCTTAGCCAAAAGACCTACTGCCCTGTGCTGGTGTGGAATGATCCGAGCACATAGTCAGCGAGCGCTGGTCCGATGTGCATTGTGGAGTTTCCAACTGAATGTGTGCGTGAGTGTCAGCGTAGTCATTAGGTTATTGAGCGCCGTAACCACATCCAGCGGGATAGCTATTTTTATTTTATCTATTATATTATCATTTTTTAAAAGTATTTTATTAACTTTCATCTTATTAGAGATTAATGTCTAAATTAAATTCTCTTTGACTTTAAAAAAAGTTCTAAAACTCTCGATAAAATACCAAAATAAAGTCAAATCAAGTCTTTTTCTATTCATTTACAAGTCTTTACAGGTAAATTTTCTGATTAACTTCTATTGTTTACAATAAATTGGCAAAACATAAGAACTCAAATATATCTAAAAAAACATTGTCAGTTTTCCTAAAAACTCCAACTTAAAGGTACTATTGTTTTCTAAAACATAACAACTATAATTTAAAAAGTTTACTTTTTTTTTCAAATCCATCTTTGTTATTCTATAACTTCAAAATTATTATTATTATTTTTATTTTTGACATTGATTTACTGTGTGGAACCATTGTGAGAAGTTAAACAATATTTCCATTGTTGAACAGAGAATTTTTCCTTTTATCAAACTTAGAGTTTCATTAAAGTTTTCAGCCTTCTTTTTTATGCTGTTTGTTTTATAACTTATTTTTGAAGAAACATCGAGGTGACTTTCAATTTTTCTAGTTACATTGTTTATCATTTTTTTGATGGGTACATCTTTTCCATTTCTTTTTAAGACACAAATATATATTTTTGCTTTTTTTCTAAAATCAAAACGTTTTGATGATTTTGAATGAAATTGTAGAGAATAAAATTTTGAATCTTTGTTGATTTTTTTAATTTTTATAAAGATTTAAAGAATTCATCATTTTGTTCACCTTGATTTATTCCTTTTCTGGCATTCTCCTGGGATATTGTTGTCTTGCAATCTTTTGTTTACAAAATTTGCAGAGCTTTCTATGAGGATATTTAAACTACTTTTAATTGTAACTTTTTACTCTAATTGTAACTAGGTCAAGATTTTCTAAAATATTTAAGTTGCATTAAGCTTTTCCTCCATTTGTCTAAAACTTTATTAGGTTATGTTTTAAAATGACAATGATAAATTTTTTTATGTCTACTTTCTTGTGATTTTATTAGTGTTTAATGTATCAAGTTTTCTATGATGTTAAATTTAACATTTTTGAGTTTTTTTTGTTTTTAATTAAGCAATTTTCAAAGACTTATTATTAAAAAAAAGTTTATGTCATTAAAATATTTATTAGTGGTCATCTATAAAGTAGCTGGTGCTAAATTTAATTTTTATTAAAAAAGATGATCATTTTCACTCTTGCATGGAGATTTTCCTTCCACATAAAACACTTTAGAATTTTTATTACTTTAAATCTCTGTGTGGAAGCCAATAATATTCTATTTCTATTTTAAAGTTGAATTTGATTTACTAAATGATTAAAGTATATCAATGTAAATTTACCTATAAAATGTGAGATTCTGAATTTGACCCCCCCCCCCTCCTTCCCTGGTAGTACCATGCTCAATTTGTTTCTTTAGGCAGTGACCTTATTTGTCAAGATTAGTCTAAAAATCATTTCATAAAATGTTTGTCAAATATAAAAACATAAACTTTACATAAAAAGTTTGTTAAAAATAATTTCTTATTTTTAAGAACTTTGTTAAAAAAATTAATGTTTATATTATATTTTAAAAAATCTTGAATTAATAAAAATCATTTCATGAAAAACTATTTAGATTCATTAGATTTATCAGCGGTTTGATGTCAAGTATGTTATAATAAAAACTTTATGTTAATATAAAATTATAGTAATAATGGTCATCATTGTGGTTATGCATCATGATCATAAAAATTAGCAAAATCATGATGATGACTTTAAAAGAAATTGTTTTTTTTAATTAGATTTGTCAAGGTCGTCTGCAATATTGAAAAAGTATTATCAAAAATATTATTGGAAAATTAATGAACTTCAACCACTAATAAAAGCACCTGTAGATGTTGATCTAAATCAAAAATTTGTTGATCTATGTATTGTTGATGCAGTGAATGCTCAAGTGGAACGCTCAAAGGATGCTGTTCTAAGTGTTGAACGAAAGAAATTCCTTGAAAAACAAATGAATTATACACCAATAAAATATAGTGAAATATTTACGAAAGAAAAATCAGTCTTATTAATATCTGGAATAGCTGGTATTGGGAAAACATGGTTACTTAGAAAATGTTTGCTTGATTGGTCAAATGGTTTAATTTGGAAAAATATTGAACTTATTTTTTATTTGGAATGCAGGAGACTTAATCAATATTCAAATATTTCTAATATAAATGAATTACTAAATGTTTTTTACAAAGATATTGTAAACGACTTTAATATAAATAGTCACACTGCACTGTTTATAATTGATGGGTTAGATGAGTTTAAATATTTCAATGAGTTATTAAATCCAAGTTTGACATGTAACTACCCGATTGTTAATGTTTTAGCAGAAATTCTAAAGTACAATCATGTAATTGCTGGTAGAGTTTATGCAATAGATCAATACCAAAGTATATCTACAGAATATAGTGATAAGTTGACTGTTCAAATAATGGGGTTTAATGAAAATGGAATTAATAATTATGTAGAAAACCATGTTATGGAAGAAAAAAAAAAAATTATAAAAGCAATTTTAAAAGAATCTTCAATTGCAAAAGCCATGGCATCTGTTCCTTTTTATTTATCTTCAATGTGTAAAATTATAAGTGATTCAAAAGATATGGATTTAATTTCTTTCTTAACAATGACAGATTTGTATGCAAATATTTTTTTGTACTTTATACGAAAACACATCATTAAAAACAACAAATTGGTACATGAGATAATAGAAGACAGCTCCAATAAAAGATATATTTTAAATATATGTAAAATTGCATATGAAATGTTTGTGAACAATAAAATAGTTTTTTCCAAAAAAGAAGTTTATGCTTTTATAGGTGACTTTGATAAAAATGAAGATAAGTATTTTGGTTTTATAGAAAAGATTGAAACAGACCTTGGTAGTTATTATCAATTCGCACATTTGACAATAATGGAGTTTTGTGCATCTGTTTATGCATATAATTATTTAAGTAGTGATGAGATTATGGTCAATGAGAGGCTGAAGAGTTGTTTATCAATGATTTGTGGATTAGCCAATAAAAACCAAAACAGTTTAATAAAGTTTCTTGTTAACCTGAATCCTTCAACAAAATCCAGTGAAGAATCTTTAATTTTGTATTCTGTTTTGGGTAAGTTCTAAAACTTGTGTTATTGTGAGCCTATTTAAGATTGGTGTTCAAACAGGCACAAAAGGTGTTCAATAAGGTACAAAAAATAATGAACTTTTTACTTAAATTTTAATTATATAAGGTATTTTTGTTAATAGTAGATTTTTTAATGCAAATAAGGTATTTTTGTTAATTTTTGATAATTTATGGTTTACAGTTTTGGTTGATTATTTTTAAAATAAAAACAATTGTTTAACATTTTTGTTATTTGAATTATATAAGACATTATTTTAAACATAAACGGTATGTTTAAGAATGTTAGGCATGTTTTCTAAAGAAATTCAAAAAAATATTCTTTATCTAAATTAAAAAAAAAAGTTAAATTCATTGTATCTCCATTTTTTTCTTTTCTATTGCTGAATGAGGTCATTTTAAAATGTTTATTTTTGTTTTTGGTTTTTATGCTTATTTTTAGTTTTTGTTTTTATGTTTATTTTTAGTTTTTATTTTTAAATTAGAGTTGATGAAAAGATTTTTTTTCAGGAAACAAAGCATAATTTAAAAATTTTCATGTTTGCATAAGTAATAAAAAATGAATGTTTTTTTGTGAACCAAATGTCTTTTTTATTATTATAAATAAAATATTATAAAAATGGTTGTAGAGACTTTATTACAATATTTTGATTTTGAGACATGAATATTTTATAAATATTGTTCACAAGAAAAATTTATGTCTTGAGTTCACTTTTATATGGCTTTTAACAATTAACTTAAATTCTTTTCTTTAATTGAAACAACTTTAAAACACCTTAAAGTTGTTTCAATTAAAGAAAAGAATAAACCTCACACCTTGTCAGAAAAAAAAATGTCACAGTGACATTATATGATTTTTAAGAAAAAAATTTTTTTTTTTCATCTTTTGACTTGAAAAAACAAAACTTGAAAAACCTACATCATAAAAACATATAGAGAGTAAAAAAAAAAATATATTGTAATAACATTTGAGATAATTAACTTGGAAACAAAAATTTTTTGAGAATAAAAACACGAAACTGTTTAAAGTATAATCATCATTAATTTCTTAAGAAAAATTTTAATCAATTTTTTTTTAAATATATTATTTTTATTTGTTATATAGGTGTTAATAGGTGTTTAATTTATATTTTGTATTTAAATCTTCATACAATTTTTATGATTTAAAATATTCAGTAATATAAATACCTAATAAAAATTTTCAACAATATAAATACAACATTGACTTAACATTTTAAAATGAAGATATTTTTTTGTTTGCATTTTATGCACTTCTTAACAAAGAGAGTTCTATAAAATATTCTATGGCTGTGTTAAACTGCCGACTGTGACTTCTAAGGATGAATGAGCAAATTTTTATTACAGAAGAATGTTTTTGACAATTTTTTATTGCTGGCTTTTGCATTCACATAAAGTTTTTTAAAAGTAGTAATGTTAAATGCACAATCTGTAAACTTTATGGTTCTAATGATTTTTTTGTAAATTGTTTCAACTTTAACATGATTGGCATTGTGATTTGATAGGTCATTGGTTTACAAAACAATGAGTTAAATATTTAGAACCTTGTACTTTCCAAGGATCTTTTGCTTACTAGCATTATTTGTTTACTAGCATAGATTAAAAAACGTTTCTTAAGTTACTTCTTAATGGTTATTCTTATGTTTTGTGTCTGTTTATTTGACTACTTATTGGCTTTTGGCTTGTTATAAATTTTTTAAGGCTAGCACAGCAAAAGTTCTGTTTTGCTACAGTCTCTCAAGAGGAGCTGTCATGACAAACATTTATTAGAGAAGAGATATAGAAATGTGCTAAGCTTTTCTCACTAACCTCACTTGAGCTTGTCATACCCATTAATACTGCCATCTGGTAAAGTCAAATGTGCGATACTGTTTTTATATAATTTGATTTTATAATTTGAAGTTGAAAAGGCAATAAGAATTCAAATAAAAACAGACATAAAATTTGAGAATAACCTTTAAGTTGTAGATTTAAAAAATATTTTTTAATCTGACTAGCAAAAGGTCATAAGGAGAAGAACAAGGTTCTAAACATTGAACTCAATGTTCTGTTAACCATTGACTTATCAAATCAAAGAATAGGGTTTACTAAAGAAATACGGGTACCTTTCTGAGATGTAGGTCTGGAGACTTCTCTCTCTCTCTCTCTCTCTCTATATATATATATATATATATATATATATATATATATTATATATATATATATATATATATATATATATATATATATATATATATATATATATATATATATATATATATATATATATATATATATATATATATATATAGATATAGATATAGATATATATGTATATATAAATATAGATATATATGTATATATATGTATATTAGGGCTGTTCATGTGAACACAGGAAAAAAAATTTTTTCTCGGATTTGAATGCATAGTTTTTTATTTTGTGCCATTTGACATAGTAATTGACTGTGTAAAAAATCTTTTCAATCAGATAATGTTCAGGGGGTGCTCAATGACCATAAAGTTTTACGAAAACGTCAAAAACGTGGAAAAAGTTCCAAAGTTCCAAAAATTTCTAGAACCTGGTTAGTTAGATTTTTTCCACTGAAATATTGTCTGATTGGGTGCTATATAGATTAATTAAAGTGCAGCAAATTAACTGTCATCAGGGCACCAGACTAAAAAATGTCTGCTAGTGTTTAAAACAACTGTGTTTATATCATTTTGTTAAAATTTGTATTCATAATTTTAATATTATTATTTAACTCAATTTAGAATTTGTTCAAACAGAATAAAAAGGTTTACAAGTATAAATATTATTTTTATTTGGAATTTCAGTTTGACAACAAATGCATTAATATTTTGATAGTACCTAACCTTAGTAACCTATTACAGAAAACTAGCATGGTAGTCTGGTAGTGTATTGTTTGTTATTAAGTGCAGATAATAATAATTTCTAATTAGAAAATATTTATTTAATTTCTTTAGTAATAATTATTATTATATATTGCTGCAGCTGCATAAACCAACAACTGAATGATAAGTTTGTATAATATGGTATTGAGTTTTGATTTTCTCATAATTTTTCAGTTATCATTGAAATGGCAGCATCATCTGGTGTTGCTATCTCTACACGACTTCAAACCGAAATCTTTTTAATTGGACAACCAGAGCCAAATCTTCCAGATAAAGTTCTTCTCTTAACATCTGATGTTTTAAAAACATTTTTTTATCATCTTAATTCAACCAAAAAGTCAGTGCCTGAAAGTCTTAAAACAACTGTTGATGAACTGATTATTATTTGGAATAAAGCCCGTATTCCGACAGCATTTCATCCGAATGTAGTCTTAAAGTTGAAAACTTTAGTCCAGGAATTTAAATTAATAAAAAAATATAAATCCAGATTGTCAGATTCTCAGAAATCAAGAGAGAAATCATTTACAGACACCATTGGCCTACTTTTTGACATTGCCCACAAGGATGCTGAAACCATGATCAGAATTGAAGAAGATAAAGAATTTTTATTGGATCAGAGATGTCAGAGAAAAATGGTGATGTTTGGAGAGAACAAAGAACTTTCAAAATTAGAAGCAAGAAATGAAGCAAGGAAACAAGCAGAGAGAGAACGAAAGCTAAAAGAAGAGCAAAGACAATCTGGTGCGAGTGCAATAGTTCCTGTTATTGAACCTTTACACGACGAAAGTTATAGTGATGACCACGATAACGATGCTGTTGATAAATTTTGCTTATTTGCTAGTCTGGTTTATGTAAAATCTTGGATATCATGCCCAAATGCCAGCGATGCTCCAGTTAATGACATGTTTCTGTTTCAGCAACTTAAGCAGTTTGCAGTTGTGAATAAAATGATTTCCGAAGCAGCAGTCAAGAAATTTCAAAACCATTTGTGGTACCTTTCACCAGAATTGGTCCCACTAGCTTTGTTTTCAAACAAACTTAAAACGGAAGAGAAGCGAAAAATGATTTCCAACATGAAATTTCACGGTGAGAACTGGTCTGAAAGGTTGATCAAATTAAAGAACATTGAAAGTCTAGAGAAGAAATCTCTGGACATGCTGGTGACATCAGTTTCAGCAAGTGCGTTGCGGTCAATGAAGGTTGATATTGATTTTCCGTTCAACAACGATCCCGCTACCTGGAATGATTCCCCAGAATACCAAGAAGGAGAAAAATTTAGTATATTCATTGAAAGTAGTAAATGATGCTGCCGAACGTCTCTCTCTTTTCCTCCTCCTCCGTTGTTGTTGTTGAGAGAGATCTCTCTCTTTTCCTCCTCCTCCGTTGTTGTTGTTGAGAGAG